TCATTGGAATACCGAGTTCTTAGCTAGTGCTTGTGGAGACTTATTGTGAATAATAGTTTTAGTAGCTTCGTCTTGTGTTAAATGAAGTTCTTTCAATAATCTTCTAAGACATATAGCATGACAAGTACAAGAGGTTGCTGCCACATATTCAGACTCACAAGTTGATAGTGTAACAATGGCTTGCTTCTTAGAACTCTATGTAATTGCACAATCATCTATAAAGAATACAAAACCAGTTGTACTTTTTATATCATCAATATCTCCAGCGAAATCACTATCACAAAATCCTACAAAGTTGAACTCATTAGAAGATGAATAAAATAACCAAAAATTAATAATACGTTTAAGATAACGTAGAACTCTTTTAACAACATTCATGCGGGAGGTGGTAGGAGCTTCCATAAAACGACTTATTAGTGCAACTGCAAAAAGAATATCAAGCCTTGTAAATATAAAGTATCTCAAACTTTTCATAAGACTTTTAAAGAGAGTGGGATCTACTTTTTTTCCATTATCAAACTTTGATAACTTTACTCCATATTTTATAAGCATGTTCACAAGATTGCAATTAAACATTTTGAATTTCTCTAAAACTTTTCTTACATAACCTTCTTGAGAAATAAAAATACAATATTCCATTTGCTTCACCTCAAGGCCCAAATAATAAGACATGAGCCCAATATCAGTTATTTCAAATTCAAGTAACATGTTTTTCTTGAATTCTTCAAACAAACTTGGATTCTTGCTTGTGAAGATGAGATTATTCACATATAGACACACAAATAGAATATCACCAGTAGAATGATACTTCACATAAGGAGCATATTCATGAAGGCAATGAACAAATTCATTATCTTCAAAATACTTGTTTATACACCTATTCCATGCTCTTGGCGCTTGTTTTAGCCCGTACAAAGCTTTCTTCAATTTCAACACTTTATCTTCACGCCCTTCAACCACGAAACTCAATAATTGTTCTGCATGAACCTCTTCATTAAGATAGCCATGGAGAAATGCCGATTTTACATCAAGTTGAAATATTTTCCACTTTATTTGAGCTGAAATAGCTAAGAGGAAACAAATAGTCTCCATGCGAGCAACTGGTGCAAAAACCTCATCATAATCAATCCCATGTTTTTGCTTGTATCTTTTAGTCACAAGCCTTTCCTTATACATTTTCACATTTCCTTGAGAATCATTTTTAGCTTTATAGACCTATTTGACACCAATAGCTTTATGTCCCTTAGGAAGAGTGGATAGTTTCCATGTGTGTTATTTTCTATGGATTTGATCTCTTCCTCCATGGCTTATCTCTATCTTGCATCTTTGATGGTTTCATCAAAATTCATTGGTTCACTGTCAAGAAAAAGACAAAACAAATCATTTATATTAAAATTAGTGATAGTCTCAGTTTTATCATAAAGATCTTAAATGCTCTTCAACTTTCGTGACCTTTCACTTGAACTTTCTTGAGAAATGGGTGATGTAACATGAGTTGGAGAATGAGGTGGAGTTGCCTCTTGTCTCTTGGTTCTTCTTTTCAAAGTATGGAAAGAAATCATAAGCATTTTCTTCTTTTTTCTCCCAATTCCAAGTTGCTTTTTCATTAAATTCAACATCTCTACTTACCATGATCTTGCCATTGCTTGGATTATACAATTCATAGCCTTTTGAGTTTGCATCATACCCAATGAAAATATGTTTAATACTTCGATCATCGAGCTTAGGTCTCTCTTGTTGTAACAACCTCAAAAATATCCAAAGGAAATAAATTATAATTCAAGTGCAAAAGCAAAATAAATATTCAACGTTTACATTCTTTACACAATAACTAAAATTACCAAATAGTGTTACAGAATTCACCATTTTGAAAGAAATACAAAGAAATAAGAAAATGATCGAAAAATAAATAAAATTAGCATTCTACTCGTAATCCTTTTGTAGATCGGGTTCTTGATCTTAGTTCTCTTTATATGAAATTGTTAAATAAGGGATGAACTACACTAACCCAGTAAGAATATCAT